AATTTGGTCTGAGATCCACTTTCATTGTAATGTGGTAATGGATTTGTTGGGAGTGCAGACTTATGGCTCTCACCCACTGCAAAATCCTATGGGGGCAATAAACAGAACAAGGGCCTTTTGGAGAAATGGCTAATTTCACAGTTGGAATAGGGGGAGGTGAAAGATGAATCTGGAATATCTTGTTATGCCCCAAATTTTTTAAGTGCTCAAAAAAACCCCAAAGTGATGGGCACGTCAAAAGGACACAGGAGGACTTTCAGCTCCAGGCAAATGGAGTAAGTGTACTTTTCCCTGTTTTTCCCACTATGTACAACTAAAAACCCTGGGCATCATGTACGAAACAAACATAAGACAACTCTGAAAGGTGGAGAGAAGACCAGCGAGGACCCGGGGACCCAAGGAATGACCCGGTGGTGAGTCCCTGGGTTTCTCTTTGCCTCACATACCCGACACTGGGTGCTGGAGCAGGGAGCAACTCAGAAATGCCAAGAGGAATGACAAAAGAAGCCCCAACCAAGCCTGCTCTCTCCAGCCAAAGGCCCAGGAAAGGGGCAGCCCAGCAGGACAGGACATTTTTAGACAAGAACTGCTTTATTCCAGCCATTCACCACCACAAAACAAAAACAAAAACAAAAACAAAAGCTATGGCTCTAACCCCATTCACAGGAACAAAGGCTAAGTGGGGAACCTAAATATCTCCCCCTCCCCGGCTGGGCAGTCATAAGTCATCCCACTTCACTCCATTTGGATGTGTCAGAAAAAGACAAGCAGGGAGCCAGCACTTTCATCGCTGCCGCCTGCATTGAGGAGCTCTCCATACCATCACCATCACTACCACCATCACTGATGTCAGTGTGAGCACACGGGGAGACTGGATTTCCACCACCACGAGGTAGTAATGAGGCACCCCTCCCCTCTTTCTGTGTCAGAGCTGAGTCTGAGAAAGTCAGCTAATACGGAAGATTTAACTAAGACCCAGAACCTCTTAACATAATCCCCGAAACTTCAGGTTTCAAACAAAAATAATTCGTGATGCTAACAACCAGAAAATCTCAAAGTAGAATGAAAAAAAGACTGCTGAGATGATAGAGATGTTAGAACTATCTGAGAAAGATGTTAAAGCTGCCATAACAACCATGCTTCAATGAGCACCTGCAAACATGCTTGAAACTGATGACAAAATAGACTCGGTGAAAATACAGAAAGTCTCACCAAATAAAGAGAATGTATTTTAAAAAGAACAAAATGAAAAATTTAGAACTAAAAAAAAATACAATGAATAGGTTCAAGAGCAGAATGAAAGGGACAGATGAAAGAATCAATAAACTTGGAAATAAAACAATAGAAAATATCCAATATGAAGACAAAAATAAACTAGACAGAAGAAAATGAGCAAAGCTATGGGGCTATAACAAAAGAACTGATATTTCTGTCTTGGAGTTCTAGAAAGAAAGGAGAAAGGGGGATAGGCTAAAAAAAGAGTACTTGAATAAATAATAGCTGAAAATTTCTCAATTTGTCAAGAGCCATAAACCTACAGATCCAAGCAGCTCAGTAAATCCCAAAGAAGATAAACTTGAAGAAATCCACACCAAGAAACATCATAATCTAACTTCTAAACACTAGCGATTAAAACACTAAAAAATCTTGGAAGTAGCAAGAAGGAAATGACACTTTCACTATAGGAAAAAGACAATTCAAATAATAGCATATTTCTCATCAGAAACCATGGAGGCCAGAAGAAAGTGGCACAGGAGTTTTTAAATGCTGAAGGAAATGAACTGTCAACCAAGAATTTTATTACCAGTGAAAACAAGAAATGAAGGAGAAATCAAGATATTCTCAGATGAAGGAAAACTAAGAAAATGTGTCACCATCACAACTACCCTAAAACAGTGGCTAATAGAAGTTCTCTAAAAAAGAAAGAAAACATAAAAAAGGGATCTTGGAACATCAGTAAGGGAAAAAGAACACTGTAAGAAAAAGTTGGGGTAAATACAACAAACTTTGCTTCTCTTGAGTTTTCTAAATGATGTTTGATGGTTGAAGCAAACAGAACACTGTGTAATGTGATTCCAAGAGTATGTGGGACCATATTTAAGACAATTATATTATAAACAGAAGAGGGCAAAGGAATGTAAAGTGAGGTAGAATTTCTGTATGTCACTCAAACTGGAGATCTGACAATATCAGTAGACTGTGGTAAGTTATGTATATATAATGCAATGCCAAGAGCAATCACTAAAAAAGCTATACAAAGAGATACACTCAAAAAATACTGTAAGTCAAGGGGCGCCTGGGTGGCTCAGTCATTGAACGTCTGCTTCCGCTCAGGTCATGATCCCAGGGTCCTGGGACTGATCCCCACGTCGGGCTCCCTGCTCAGCGGGAAGCCTGCTTCTCCCTCTCCCACTCCCCCTGCTTGTGTTCCCTCTCTCTCTGTGTCTCTCTCTGTCAAATAAATAAAATCCTGAAAAAAAAAAAAACTGTAAGTCGAAATAAAATACTAAAAAATGATCAAGTAACCTACAGAAAAATAGGAAAAATTAAAGAAAAGAACAGAGAATAGAAAACAACAAAAAATAATGAACTGGAAGACGTAAGTTCTAGCATATAAATATATCAAATGTAAATTATCTAAAAACACAAATAAAGACAGACATTGATGGTGTGGATTTAAAATTTTAACCCAACTCGGGCACCTGGGTGGCTCAGTCAGTTGAGCTTCTGCCTTTGGCTCAGGTCATGATCTCAGGATCCTGGGATCAAGTCCCACAGTGGGCTCTCTGCTCAGCGGGGAGTCTGCTTCTCCCTCTCAGTCTCCCTTTGTGCTCTCTCTCTCTCAAATAAATAAAATCTTAAAAAAAAAAATTTGACCCAATTCTATGCTGTCTACAGGAAACTAACTTCACACATAATGATATAGGCAAGTTGAAAGTAAAAAGGGCAAAAATACATATCATGCCACCATTAACTGAAGAAAGCAGGAGTGGCTAGATTAGTGTTAAACCACATTTCAGAACATAGAAAATTACCAGGGACATAGAGGTATATTATAAGATGATTTTAAAAAAAGTAAATCCACCAAGAAGACATAGCAATCACCAATATGTACAGACTAAACAACAGAGCTATAAAATATATGAAGAACAAAATGAAAAATTTAGAACTAAAAGAAAAATACAATGAGTAGGTTCAACAGCAGAATGAAAGGGACAGATGAAAGAATCAATAAACTTGGAACTGAAGACATAAACACCCCTCTCTCAACAATCTCTAGAATAACTAGGGAGAAAATCAGCAAGGATACAGAAGAAGTCAACAATACGATCAACCAACAGGATCTAAACAATATTTATAAAACACTCTACCCAACAGCAGTAGTTGGTTCAAGTGTCAATGGAACATACACCAAGAGAGACCACATCCTGAGTCATAAAAGAAACCTCAACAAATCTAAAAGAACTGAAATCAGACAGAGTGTCCTCTGACCATAATGAAATCAAACTAGAAAGCAAAAACAGAAAGCTAACAGGAAAATCTCTAAGTACTAGATAATTAAACAAGAGACTTCTAAATAATCGCTGGGTCAAAGAGGAAGTCATAAGAAGAAATAAAATACACTGAGCTAAATGAAAATAAAAATAGGGCATATCAAAATTTGTGGGTCACAGCTAAAGCAGTCCTGAGAGGAAAATTTATAGCACTAAAATACTTACATTTGCAAAGAGGAAGACTCATTAAAAATACAGGCTATCAAGTCTATAACCTAAAAAAGAAAAAAAGAAAAAGAAACCCAAAGCAAGCAGAAGAAAGGAAATAATAAAGGTAAGAGCAGAAATCAATACAATTAAAAAAAGAAAAATAATAGGGCAAAAAAATCAATGAACAAAATGCTGGTTCTTTAAAAAGACACAAACCTGTATGACTGACAAGTAATTAAATCAGATAGAAGACACAAATTACCAGTATCAGGACATAAGAGAGATTTCATTTCAGAATCTGCAGACATCAAAAGGATAATAAGATAATACAGTGCGCGACTCTACACACACAAATCTAGGATGAAATGGACTAATTCCTTGAAAAGCACCAACTGCCACAACTCACAATTCAAAATCATTTAAATCACAACTCACAATCATTTAAATATCCCTATAACCTTTAAGAAAATTGACTTCATAATTTTATTTTATTTTTTATTTATTTATTTTTTTTTAAAAGATTTTATTTATTTATTCATGAGAGACAGAGAGAGAGAGAGAGAGAGGCAGAGGGAGAAGCAGGCTCCCAAGGAGCAGGAAGCCCGATGCGGGACTCGATCCCAGGACCCTGAGATCATGACCTGAGGCGAAGGCAGACGCTTAACCATCTGAGCCACCCAGGCGCCCTGACTTCATAATTTTAAAACTCCCCAAAAAGAAATCTAAAACAAAAAACAAAAAATCCCAGATGATTTTACTGGAAGGTTCTACCAAATATTTAAAGAACACCAATTTTACCCAATCACTTCTGGAAAACAGAAAAGCGTGGAATACTTCCCAGTTCAGTTTATGAAGCTAGTATCACCCTGATACCAAAACCAGACAAAAAAAAAAAAGAACACGACAGATCAATACCCCTCATGTATACAGAAGCAAAAATCCTTAACAAAACATTAGCAAATAGAATTCAGCAATATATAAAGGAAAAAAAAAAAGACAGTTTGCATTCACTTTTTCGAAGGGCACGCTAAGTGCAATGCGGCTCTTCTGGAGTTTCCATCTTCGACTGACCACTTTGGGAAGGCTCCCGCTCTTGCCCTTTGTAGCAAGAAGGAAAAGGAATGTGTTTCCCTAGGATGGTCTCCTTTAACTCTCAAGTGACTAGCCAGCTAACTGAAGACGGGGCCGACCCTGAAACCAAGCAGACAGGCGAGCGGGTCCGCGAGGACGGGAGGCACGCTCATCCCGCGGTCAGACCCGGCTGCCCCCCCCGCCCCCCCCCCCCGGCGGCCTTACCTCGGACGCGATGGAGGTGAAGCTGCCGCTGAAGTGCACGTGCTTGCGGACCTCGCTGCCGTTGGCGGTCCGCAGCCAGTCCCCGAGCGCGCGATCGTCCCCCGCTGACCGGTTGCCGAGGCTCCGATTGGGCAGGAGCCCCGCCAGGTCCCAGCGGAACGCGGGCGTGGCCCCCACCAGGGCGATGAGGATGGCCTCCGTGGCCACGTAGAGCTGAAGGAGCAAACACACAAACCCGTCTGTGTTGGAATTGCAATCAGCAGGCGTAAAGGCCTCACAAGATCGGTGTCGGGCTTTTCGGAAAACTAGGCACCTCCAAGCGAAGGACAGAAACGGGAAAAGGAAGCTTCCTCCCGATCTACCACCGACAGAGTCGTCGGCGATCCCCCTTGTAAAGCACCCTAGGGCTTTTTCCAGGGGGATCTCCTTCTACATTTGAGATACCTCTGATGCTCGGGAAACGGCACACCGATGGTTCAACACTGGCGAAGGTGGGGGGGGGGTATTACTGGCTCTGATTTGGGAGACTGACATTCCAGCTATCTTCCCTCGACACTACACCCTCTGTTCAGGTAAGCAGGCATCAGGGCCCCCCAGTATCTTGGCCTTGGATTCACAATCTAAACCCTTTGTGGCATAGTCAAATGCCTCAGAAAACGGCATATAAAGAGAGAGAATATATTTATATACATAGTAAAAGAATATACAGAGTATATACACATAGAGTATATAATCATATAGACTATGTACAATGTGTATATAAGGAAAGAACAGAGTATAGAGAGTATATACACAGAAAAAATATATAAACAGAGTATACATTTGATAATATAGAGAGTGAGCACCAGCAAAAATACTTTATTAAAACAGGTAATCATAATACGTACTTGAATAGGTACTATTTTAAAACATAGTACACAACTTATAAGATGTAAAGAAATTCAAAATCCCAGTAAGAGGTACTCACTTTATAACCCTTAGCCCTACTTAAATCACTGTTTAATCTAAACATAGTTGTTCTCCCAAGGAAAAAAAAATTCATTCTAGAAATATTTATTGAGCATATAAGCCATTTGTCTCTGATTGTTCTGGGCCTTATAGCTATTCACAATTGGGTTTATAAACTGTTGAGCCCTTTGCAGCCTTTTTATGCTATGAATTTCCATTTATATTAGTTCTCGTTGTTGGATGATTATTTCAAGCTTCAAATAAATTAGGAAAACACAGAATTCGTCTGTTCCAGCGAGATCTCCCTAAGTGAGACAATCTTATTTTAAGAAATTACCCCTATTAACTTAGAACCTGGTTATCTTGAAATACCTTTAAGCAGAACAAGTGTTCCCAAAATACAAGGCTGTGATTTCTCCACAGCATACAGTAACACCCCCAATGGATGGATGCGCTGACTGAGGCACAAAGAGGTGGAGACTTGCCAACAGCTTCAGCTCCATCCACCAGGGAACCCTGGAGCTTCTTCCACACCACTCTGTAGGGGCATATTCAGCTGTTAACTGGATAAGCTAAACCGCCAAAGGCAGAGTGATTTATCACAAGCAGATGATGGAATTACCGTCAAGGAAAGAGAAAAGAAGTCATGACATTGTGTGTGTCATAGCAGAAAGCTAATGTAAAACCCAAGGTGTGATTTTTGCACTCTGGGAAAGGCTGCGAGGACAGAAGGCAGCCCGGATCTAGCCCCAATCTATTTTGAGGCGAGTGACAGTGGGCCTCTCGAGGTATCTCAAGCCACCACCGGTCAGTCTGCGTGGGTGATTTATTGTGGAATGCAAAGGAAATCATGTTTCTAGATTTCTATTGCTTCCTGGCCCCTATTTGCATACTATTAAGGACGTTTTAGAACAAGAGGCAATCAGTTTATAAAAATAAAAACCTTAATAATTACAAGAACAGAGAGATTACACATTTAGCAGCCGCTATAATTACCAAATCCGTTTGCATCATTTTAGTAACTGCCCCTCCTTATTACAATCTGCTGGACTTAATTGATGGGTAAAGAAATGAAAAAATATGGGGCAAGGGAACTCTGGAGATGAGGCAGAACACATGTTCAAAACACAGCCTTCAATTGGGCAAAGCAAACTAGTTATATTTTCTCTCTAAATACGCTATTTTCTGCTTTTGGTCCTACCATTCCCTTCACCTGGAAAGCACTTCACGAGGTTCAGCAGAGTCTGAACGTTTCCCATCCTCCCAGATGCAACTCAGGTACCACCCCCGCCCACCTCGCTTTCCTCTCCAACCCTCTGGAAGCCCTCTCCAGCTTCTGCCTACCCCCCAAAAGCTCCATGCTAGACCTTTGTTAGACACATATCCCTTTCTTCACTCCATTATATTTATGTGTTTGCTCATCTTATTTTCCTAGCAGAACATTCCATCTCTGAGGACAGGATCTTTGTGTGATCCAGCCCTGGGCTTCCACAGCAAACACCTCAGGGCCTCGATACGTGATAGCACACACTCAAGTGAATGAATGAATGAATGAATAAATGACCAGGAACCCTAGTAACAACAGCAAACAGTTCTTTAAGGCTAATTAGGTGCCAGGAACTGTTCTAAGGGCTTTGCCGGAAATACGTTCACACATCATATTTCTTACTCTAGGTAAGAGAGGAAATGCTCAAAGGGTCCTCTAAGCTGAGGTGTGTTTTCTCATGGAAACCACCATTCTCAGCAATAGCTATGATGTGCAGAAAGTTCAGAAACTACATGCACCCTGATGTTTATAGCAGCATCATCTACCTTGGCCAAACTGTGGAAGCAGCCCAAGTGTCCACTGACAGATGAATGGATAAAGAAGATGTGGTATACACACACACACACACACACAGAGGAATATTAGCCATAAAAAAGAATGAAATCTGGCCATTTGCAATAACATGGATGGAGCTAGAGAGTATAATGCTAAGCAAAATAAATCAGAGAAAGACAAATACTGTATGTCACTCACATGTGGAATTTAAGAAAGAAAACAAACGAGTAAAGAAAAAAAAAAAGAGAGGGAGACAAACCAAGAAACAGACTCTAACTGCAGAGAACACACTGATGGTTACCAGAGGGGAGGGGGGTTGGGGGGATGGGTGAAACAGGTGATGGGGATTAAGGAGGGCACTTGTGATGAGCATCAGGTGATATATGGAAGTGTTGAATCACTATACTGTATACCTGAAACTAATATTACACTGTATGTGAACTATAGTGGAATTAAAAATTTAAATTTAAAAATGAAAAAAAGCAGTTCAGATACAAAGAGCTGGTGCTGATACATATCCTAATTCATGGAAGGGACCAGTGAAACTTAGTTCATCAGTATTATCCCTAGCAACCTGTCGCCTCAATAAGCACTTTCACCTTCTCATCTCTGTCCTCCTCCCACCCCTCACAATGTTTCCAGTGCCCACCCCGCCCCTGAACACACACTCGTACACCCAGGGACCTCAACCGCACACCCAGCGCCATGGCTTTATGACACCAGAAGGGTCCGGCATATGCAGCTCAGAACTCTAGGACGGTGCCACCTACTTCTCTCCCCCAGAGTCCAAATATTCTCTCGATCGTGTCTCTGCTATTACTCCACAACAACCGCGCACACATTCACCCACATCTTCTTGTCTAATGATGGCACCCATCAGCAGATGGGCCTTAAAGCCACAATCAGAAACCACCATCCATGTGCCTTCGGAATGGGGCCCACCACATCGCAAACAGACCATTATCTTCTCCAACGCTACCTCTAGGGAAGAACAAGTGCCCCAGATGGCTGCACTTTTTTCCCCCCTTTCAATGTCATTATAATTAGAAAAGTGACCAACATGCACCAGGGGACTGAAATTTTTGAAGTTGCAAAAAGTGAAGGTTTTAAAAAATGAATTTATGTCGACAGCATTATAAGCTTTTATAATACTCCGGAAACCAAAAACGTCCCCCATTAATGATCTCATCACAATATCTTGTGCTGTGAAGTCATGGTAAGTATGACGCTGATGTTTTAAGTAGGAAAAATGGGCAACAGAGCAATTAAGTGAATCATTCAAGGTCACGTATGACACTAATAGCGAAACCAGGATGAGAATGGGAGTCACGGAACTTTGAGGCCAGAGCTCCTCAGAGGAAAAAACAAACAAACCAGGAACATTCAAAGATGACTTTATTGTTATCATTACTGTTAGTCTTTTCTGCACTTAGGACTCCGTTATGTAATTGACTCAACCAGTAGCATGACCTAAGCAAGCATATCATGGACGGCAGGACCAAATGCCCAGCGCCCAGCACAAATTGGGTATTCAATAACTATTTGTTAGGTGACTTACCGATACCACTTATTTTATTTATTTATTTAAAATATTTAGTTATTGTGCTCTGAATAACTGGTGTCTCGAGTCCTGTTTCTTCCCAACTCTAATTCATCCACGTAATGCCGCCAGATAGGTCTCCCTGAGAAGCTCCTCATGAAGCTCTTCTGGCCAAAACGTATTAGTGGATAAGTAATAAATGTCCTAGCATTCCAGATCTCCACTGTATGGCCCAACTGCTACCTAATCCACATTCAAGCTTTCTGTACTAGCCTACTTAAATCCCCAAACGTGACTTCTCATCACGTGGTGTGAAAAGCATACGAAATCTATATGCCTGAGTTAGAACCTCAGCTCTAAGTAAACTCTCAGCAAATCAAAACCTCTCCAAACTTCACGTTTTCTTTCAGTGAGACTGGACACTGGTAGTCCCCCTCTTTATCTAATTCATTTGTATCTAATTAACCTATTCTGAGGGTCAAATAGGATGCTTCTTCAGCCAACCCTAAACTGTACAGCCCCATACAAATGGTATCTATCGGCGCTTCCCAAACGTTACTGAGCAGGGTCTGATCCTACAGCCTGGGGGAGACCTGGTCCCACACATCTCTAGCACGCTCTCGTGAGCTCAAGGCTACTGCTCTGGGTCACACTTGTTGTACAAGGCTACAGGCTGTTCTCTCTTCTACATGTTTTTTCCCACCTTTATGGTTTCCCATGTGAAATGACCTTCCCACTTCTCTTTAGACCCAAGCTCCCAAGTTCAGCTCAAGCTCAGCCCTTCTGAAGTCTTCAACAAACCACTCCAGACCACACTGAGGGCTCCCTTCTTAACATCCAAAGCATCTATTCGGTGGCGACACTATTACCGCGAAAATGCTATTCTGTATAATTATTTAACAG